GCCTCCAACCTAGTAGCGATGGCCTCCAACCTAGTAGCGATGGCCTCCAACCTAAGAGCGATGGCCTCCAATGCGATGGCCTCCAATCTAAGAGCGATGGCCTCCAGACTAACGGCCATGGCATCCAACCTAAGAGTGATTGCCTCCAACCTACCATGGCCTCCAGCCTAGTAGCGATGGCCTCCAACCTAAGAGCGATGGCCTCCAAACCTAGTAGTGATGGCCTCCAACCCAAGAGCGATGGCCTCCAACCTAGTAGCGAAGGCCTCCAACCTAGCAGCAATGGCCGCGAACCTAGTAGCGAGTGCCTCCAACCTAAGAGCGATGGCTTCCAAACCTATAGTGGCCATGGCCTCCAACCTAAGAGCGATGGCCTCCAAACCTAGTAGCGCTGTCCTCCAACCTAAGAGCGATGGCCTCCAACCTAGTAGCGATGGCCTCCAACTTAGTAGCGATGGCCTCGAACCTAGTAGCGATGGCCTCCAACCTAGTAGCGATGGCCTCGAACCTAGTAGCAATGGCCTCTAACCTAAGAGCGATGGCCTCCAACCTAGTACAAATGGCCTCCAACCTAAGAGCGATGGTCTCCAACCTTCTAAAGTAAGTACAACGTTCTTTAACGTGTACAACCTATGCACACCTTCACACAGAGTGACCTTGCACAGCAACAGGTATATAAGGTGTAGCTACGTTCTCTAGCACAAGGAACATGGGACCGAATCTCCACCTTGAACTAGCTGAGCAATGCTCTGAGGACCATGCGTCTCCCGCTCTCGCTGCTGTTCTCGTGCTTCTGGCGTCATGGCGCAGTCGGAGAAAGGGAAACCATGACCAACAGACCAATAGTGTAATTACATGCTCCACAGTATGGGGCTCCGCGTGTGTTTGAACATCCATAGAGCCGCAGTCTGAAGCCCTACGTGTTGGGCGAGTTCCAAGTGGCTCTTTGGAATGCCAAAATCCAGTAGTGACTCGAGGTGAGGCTTGCGTGATTGCAAGGGCCATTTTTTTGACCACCGCAAATAGTGACACAATGTGTTTCTGGTTGCCGCATGAGAATGCGAAGGAAGTTGCCGCACACGGTACTTGATGGGACTTTGTACGTGGTGGAACCTCACATCCACCCTCCATCCTACACAGTGTCCGACTCAGTGTGAATTAATTACATGCATTACGGTGATCTGTTGTCACTGCCAACGGTTGTCACAGTGACAAAGGATGGGTAGTAAGTAGTAAACACTTTCTATTCTACATGTTTGTACCTCGGCAACTCTGTGATATGGGGTCCATGAGCTGTGATGCAAATGTACATCAAAGTCTCAATGCACAGAAGAGGTTCATGGAGCACTCGCCTTCTTCTCTTTTCTTCTCCCGTTCCTTTTTTTCCTTCCTGATGTTGCATCGTTCATGCTAATGGAAACTCGAGAAATCAAGAAAGTCATCTAAGCTTCAGACTCACGCAGTTCCCGTGCAAAAGCATTACGCCGACCTCGGTCTAGTATGCACTGGCAACAAAACGCTCAATCCCTGGCACACTCCAAAAAGCCAAGGAGACCACTTTTGCTGATGGCTCGGATACGCTTGCCCCCCCTGCGCCGCACAGGCAATCTGGTTCAAGAGGGGTTCTTTGGGTCACTCAAACTGCCACCTTCGGATCATCTTCCATCTCGTAACGGGTTTTCTGTGCATTGGACTCGCTGATCATGGCAAGAAGCCTTGCTAATGGCGGATCCACAAATGACTCGGCAAATAGTTGTAACGAGTGCTCTGTTGCTTCCATCAGCTGGGCATCCATCTTGTCTTCTGTCGTCCCACCAAGAATGTCCTGAGATTCACTGGAACTGAAGACCAGCTTGAAAAGCATGTGTATGCATATACATATACTTATATATCACATTATATATGCATATATATATATATATAAATACAGTTGATGTTGAGCTCCCCCAACCAACAAGATTATCATGATCAAATTGGGCATGTTGCACATGTTGGAAAGAGGATGCTAGAAATGGAGCTACATCTACATACATAGGCCGCAACTCATCCGGGACCTGCAGCTGGCAGATTCCTTCAGCTGTGTTGTACTGATGGACCTTCTGCGTAAAGGATGCTCTATTCCTGTCTTTTCGACAGTCCGTTCCACTTCATAAGCCAAAAGAAGCTAAAATCATCTAAAATCCCTGTGCTGGTAAGAATCGGAAGTCAGCAAATCATTCACATTCACCCAACCAGCGTCATCAATGTTGACATTTACCTGCGCATCGCATGCCAGAAAAATGATCTGTATGCGTCGGAACGGAGTCACGAGTGCTTGCATATTTCACACAGATGATCGTTGGTGGAAACAGGACTATGCTGGTTCTGGCAAACGAAAGTCGCTTTTTGCCAAGCTGAAAATAAACCTGTACAAAGGTGAGAGTGCCAACATCACAAAATGGCCAGAGTTGTCAGTCAGAGTTGTCAGCAGACAACTGGCAAGGAATAGAAACGAACTGAAACTAAAGAATCCAACTGCTCTTGAACCGCTGAAGCGGAAGCAATCAACATTTTAGACTGGTGGAACTCACTCACGGACTGCTTTCATTATGGAAGAATTTCCGAACATGGTCCTCTTTGCTATGTGCCATTGACAATGGTGACGGCTCACCAGAAAGCATCCTGAGAGAAAATCTTGGAGCAAAGCAAATCGGACCGCACAGGTTCTGAGACAATCTGTATTCTCCCCATGATTCCTGTTCTGTATAAATCGACATATCATGATATATCGACGGATCATGCCTGTGCTGGCCAATGTCTGGGCCCGCCTTTCTCGGACATGCTCGCGCTCGTCCCGCTCGTGCACGGCGGAGCTTGAATGTGATTTGGACAACGGAGACATCTCACCTTTACACAGACTTGGCAGAGAGGGACATGAAACAGTGATTTCATTTTTGCTCAGAAGAGCTCCTCGTCTAAGACTGAGAGTGAAGAAAGACATTGCGAAGAGAGATAATCCAAGACAAGCAGAACACCCCGATTCGTATAACCTGTGTCTCGCACTCTTGCTCACAGAAGCACTACTGCGGTGCAGTCCGAGTTGCCCTCATGAGAGAGCGACATGCGGGGCCTAGGTCCAACTGGAACCAAAGAAAAGAGACAGTAAGCCTAACAGCGATGGAACTCAATAGCGATGGCCTCCAACCTAGTAGCGATGGCCTCCAACCTAAGAGCATCAATTAAATCTTGACCTTTCATGACCTTACAGATCCTTACAGTAACGACTTCCCTTTCAGCCCAAAGCCTACCCAAAGGCGGGCCACAACGACTCGGATGGACGTCTGGCCCCACAGTGTGCACGAGACATAGGCGACATGGACGATGACGCCTCTCCTGAACTGATCGATACAGTGCAGTCTGTCGAGGAAATCTGCATTTTACGGTTGTGCGTCCCTTCTCAAGCAGTGACATGGTGAATAAGGGTTAAGTAGTGGAGCTCTCCGACTCTCTCCTGGAGGGGATACTTCTCTCTTGCTTCCTGCAGCTGATTCCTGGCAGTTGGAAGATTCTCATAGGATTGTTAATGAGAGCTCTTGAAATCTGCAAATTGGTGGGTATGAAACTGGATCAAACTGTTCTGAAACTAGCTGGCTGCCAAAGATAGAATGTCCCTCAGCCTGTTGAAGGTGGGCCCTGGAGAGCGGTGATGTGGCTGGTATTCTTCTTGTGGCAGATTCCTTTCACGCACAGCTGTGATTTCCTTTCCTTATTGTCTGTTTGGCAGCTCTTTCATGCTTGGACTGATACGTAGTGTCAGTAGTGCCAAGCCACATCGAGGCGGCCTGCTGGCCTATGCCGCTGAGCATGTGCAGCCGCCAAGGGCGAAAGGGCGCGAGACATGCTTCCCAACTTCTTCCCTCAAAGAAACTACAACACGTTGCAACATGTTCCAGAATATTTACAGCAACACGATCCTTGGGACGTCGACTTGGCTTGAAACATAGACTATGGCTGCGGTATACTGGCTCAAAACCAGCACATGTCCGGTGAAAACCCATTTTACACGTTTACGCTCAACTTGAGGCCAAGGGGGCGGGCGAAAGCTAGCGCTCCAGAATGGGAAAGTGGAGGGCAGCGAGGTAGGAAAAAACACGGCGCTCTTTTTGGAGGCAGGGGTGAAGAGTCCTTTATATGTGGCTCTTTGCCCGGATCCTCCTGCGAGAGAAGAGAGAGAAGAGAGACGGAAAGACGAGAGACAGAGAGGAGAGAGAGAGAGAGAGGAGAGAGATGAGAGAGATGAGAAAGAGATGAGAGAGATGAGAAAGAGATG